CGAGATCACTGGCGGCACTTCGTATTTCCGTATACTTCAGGCTGCCCCTATAATTTTGGTTGTCGAATGTGGACAGGAATTGAAAATCGACCTCATCATCCAGCCAGTTGCTCCGGGCATAAATGAAGGGCTTTTTATCCACCTGGCTGTGGGACAGTTGGGTGCGTTGAAGCAGCTTCACAACGAAATTTGTCATTGTCCGTTTTAATTATTTCAAAATATTTTGTAAACAATTTGTTGAACAGCTGTTGCCAGAATGAATTTTCCAGTACCATGACCCAAGCACTACACAACACTGGAACTTGGTGTTTTGCGTTATCCAACTCTGTTAATTTAGTATAAATTAAAGAAGGGGAAAAATTAAATTTGAGCACTTAAAACGCGCTAATTTGTGTCTTTAAGTTTTATTGTTTGAATTGATCGAAATGAGCAACATGATTGTCGACAATGTTGTGGAGTTTGCCAGCTACTGGTGGTTCCGATACCTCATGGTGCGTATTCCAGAGAAAAGTCGGTGTTATTCGTGTCGTTAATTGGCTTCATGTTTTTCGATTTCCCCAGGTTACCGAGCTCTATATGGTGGAGAAGTGGGAACGTGTAACGATACGTAAGTATTGGGACAACTCATCTCTCTTCAGCCAAGGGTTTGTCCAATACAATTCGTCATACATTTAGTGCGAATTTTTAGGCTTATCACGAGCGACGCGACGCTTTCTATATTATTGCTCTTCTCTCATTTGCAGACGTGCTCTTTATGGTGCTCTTCTGCGTATTCTGGTACTTCAACTACTCGGTGCTGCTCTCTCTGGCCGGACTAATCTCACCCAACACACTTATTGCCGATATCTTACCCGGAGCGCATCAAGGACAAGGTGTCAAGGTCATATAACCGAACCGCAGCGTGTGTGTTTATACTTCCAATTTTCCAATAATTGAATATCTGCCTGCTGCTGCGTATCTGTTATTGTGCCTATCCACGCGCCAGCTTTATCTAATCCACACATATTCACATCCACCAAGTGTGTTTACACATCAATAACAGCCGAAGAAGGTGTTGGAGTTTCTTTAGTGGATAAGCTAAGCATCAAATTTCAGCCACTAATCGGCCGGCGCACTGTTTAAGCTAGCCTCAGTCTACACACGTACTCCCTGTTGGATGCTTAATAATAGTTAAGAGAATAAATGTGAATGCTAAAGAATGTGCAATTGATGTTGCTTTTGAATTCTTTTCGTGTTTTTATTTGTATAATTTTGAAAGAGGTATTCCCTTGTTTATGCCGCGACTCTGGTTAAGTTGTACAATCGAATTGAAGTGTTTTCCATTTTGTGAATTACATTTAGGCGCTACAAAAATTTACTCCTGCTCTGCTTCTGTTCTATTTTAAACGTTACTTTGCAGTTCAATGCTCTAAGTGTTACATTTCATTACAAAAATATATGTAGATAGCCTATGGGAGGGTTGTAGGTTGTAGGTTTTGCGTATGTTTATGCGTATTAAATATTGTAGGGTAACGCGCCCCGCGTTGTGTGTAGAAATATTGTATGGTTGTGTGTGTGCGCAGTGTTTTGTTATTCGAGTGAAGACTGCACACGAATAGATCCACAACTCGGATGCCATAATGCATCCGGTTGCGGATGGTAGTAAAATTAGTACATATAGTGATAGTGATAGCTATTTTGTGGGGGGGTTTTACGGGCCTTAGGGCACTTAAAACTATGCTTACATATCTAGACGATCGACTGATCGATCGATCCTCCATTTATTCATCCATGTCCATGGCTTCACACACCTACTACGTATCCAATTTAAGAAAAGAACTTACTTAGGAGTTGCGTTTGTAGAGGAGCAGCATGCGGACGGCGTCCCACGCTCCGCAGACTCTCCGCCACATAGATTACAAGAATAAACTCCGCCATGCATAGACTAATGGCCCTGATCTATAACTAACTGTACACGTGGGTTGGTTGGTTGGTTTGTTGCTTGCTTATCCGCCAGATAATATCTATTATCTGGCCAGATAATACACGCTCGCTTGCGACTTGATAAAGTGCCCGGGAACTGGGGCCAGTCTTCTCACTCAGGCCACGGTTCTACTGAGGGACACATTGATGGTCACTGATAGTTAGGATGTGGTCGACGTACCATCCAGCAGCACCGATCCCATCTCCTCGTTCTGCTCCACGTACACCAGTCGCGGATCCTCGCCAAATTCCAAACGCCCGTAACGTGCCACCAGCGGCGTCTTGTTGTTGACCTGCGGAGATGACTTACTGTTGACCTGCGGTGCCCGGGGCCACTTGCGCTTGGGCTTGGTGTGCGTCAGCATGTGCGACTTGAGGTTCGTCGACTGTGCAAAGCACTTGGAGCAGCCATCAATGGGACAATGGTAGGGGCGATCGCCGGTGTGTATTCTGACGTGGGTGCGCAGATTGAAGTCGAGGGAGAAACGCTTGCCGCAGCCCTCGAAGGTACACTCGAATGGCTTCTCGCCAGTGTGCACCAGCTGGTGGCGCTTAAGCTTGGAGCTCTCCACAAAACTCTTGCCGCAAACATTGCACACATGACCGCGCGGACCGTGCGTATGCATGTGCTTCCGCATGGCCGAGTGATTCCTGAACTCCTTGTTGCAGCCGCGATGGGTGCACCGAAACTTTGGCTCCTCGTCCTCTTCGGCAGCGGCTCCTGCAGCGGCACCGTCGGCCGTCTGACTGCTGGCAGCCACTTGGTTGGCAAGACTGGCTGCTGTTTTGGTCATCGTGGTGGCTCGCGGGCGTGCCAAAATTCTGGGAGTCACCAGCGGTGGTGGTTGCGACGCCGCATTCAATCCTACGACAGGTGCAGAGGCGATGCTTAGTTGCCTTTTAGCGGCCTTGGCCTGCGACCCTGTGCTGCTTTTCAGTCGCACATTTGTGCTGCTGTTCTGTAGCACCAGCTTTGGTAGCGACAGCTGGGCTGCTGTTGGGCAGCGGCTTGTCTTCGTGCCGCCCGTCATCGCCTGAGGTGGTGGTGGTGCGGCAGCTGGGACTGGTATCAACTCCACGTTGTGGGGCATATTCTCGATGAGTTCAATTGAGCCGTATGCCTCATCCAGATGGTTATCGGCGTAGATGAACTGCTCACTCAGCGGCTGGCTGTCTTCCTCGCCCTTCACATCGCCCATAAATGCATTGACCACCTCCTCCACATCCGTTACTGCCGATGCGCTGAAGGGATCCGGCAGGATGACGTATTCATTGCCGATGCCATCGCTGAGGACATCGTGATGCATGTTGTTGCTGATTATGTGCTCATCGATGATGAGTTTTGGCATATTGGAGGAGGAGGCTTCAGTGCTGGTTGATGAGGACACCACGGGATGGACCACAGACACTTGGGGGTCGTCCAAGTCCTCCTCCTCCTCTTCCTCGTCCTCCGAGTTGAGGGACGACCAGAGCGTTACATTGAACTCATCCTGGGTGATGCGAATGGGTACCTTGGTCTGCTTCCAGCGCTTTGTGGCGGCACTGGCCCGTCGCTCCACGCGACTACTGTTGCCGAAGAGCTTCAGGTCCTTGAAATCCTGGGCATTGGAGCTGTTTGAGTCCTCCGCTGTTTTCATGTAAAAGTCGCTCTCCAGCTGCTCCTCCTTGATGTTGGTGGCCTCGAGGGTGGTCAACACTTCGGAGGCTATTTCGAAGGCATTCGTCATGGCCGGTACCGCATCCGACTCCTCGTCCGCATCCTCCTCGTCACCATCGCAGGAGGACGACATACGCATCGCATCTTCATCTATGTAGTCTTCATCCTCGCTGGTCTGCTGCATTATAATTGGCGGTGGCACGGCATCTGCCTCGGCCACGGCCCCTGAGGTAAACCTACCTAGACGATCCACCGCCGGGTAGTATTCGTAAACATCGCCCGATATGAAGAACTCTCCTGTGTCCACAACAATATTTGTCTCATCTTCGTAGTCGTCGATGATCTCCTCGATGAGGAAACTCTCGCTGCCGCCACCCGCTGGCTGCAGCACGCTGGTGTACGGCTCATGGTCCACGATTGCTGTTGGCGGCTGCTGCAAGACCTGTGTGAAATACATCGACGATGCATTCGTGCCGTGGCCAGACGAGGAGGATGAGGAGGTCATGGGCAGGGGCACTGCCGCCGCAGCAAGCGATAGGTTCTTCACAATGGGTGCCCGGAGTTGGTGCTGATGCTGCAGTTGGAGTTGGGGCGGAAAGTTGCCGCCACCAACGCCGACGCTGTGGTGATGACTTGTCATCGCTGTTCCGTCTTTCTTGGGCCCTCTGCTTTGTGTGTGTGTATATATTGCACGGTGCGGTGCGCGTGTGTGTGTTGGCGCGCGTCTGTGTGTGCGCTGTTTGGTGGCCACTGCGAATTGGCAATTAGTACTTCGCAATTTTCCACTGTCTATACGCAGAATATAAAAAACATACCCGTTCAATTGCGTACCGTACCAGGCTGATGCTGGCTGGACTGGGCTTCTTTTTGTCGGTATTTGTGTTTTCCCTCCTCTACGACTTCCCTATTGTCATTAGTGCTGCGTGGGGCTGCGCGACGGCAGCAGCAGACGTCGCTTGGCTTTGTTGCTCGTTTCGACCTTCACGCTGTTGCCTGGCACTTGATTATTGCACAAATAGGATCCAGCTGGATCAATTGTTTGGCAACAATGTAAATGTTTTGAATTTTGCCGGTAAATATGGCGGAATTGTATTTTCCAAAAACTTTCTCTTGCGTACACTTTTTGTTGGTGTTGGTTAGACAGCGTCCGACACCCGCCTCGAATGCAACCCTGTGCGTATATGTATATGTGCTTTGTGCATATGTATGTACGTATGAAGATGTGCTGTGCGCACATATTCAAAAGTGTAATATTTATGCAAATAGTCGATGCACAATAATGCTGGTAGGTATATAATTTCGAATTTTTATTATTGAATCACGGAATCATTATCCATGGAAAAATGTACTATTCATTCTGACTATCGATAACGATATATTCTTTTTCCAGGGTTGCCCATTAATTTATACTCACATATCTCTTAAAAATAAATTAACAAAATCGTTTCATTTCATATCTTATTATTTAGATCCACTGCTCTAGCTCAAGTGAATTTTTTAAGAAGTAAAACTTCTGGCAAATAAACCTTTTTCAGTTTGGAGTCAACAAACGGTTCATGCTGCTCCTTAATTGTCTCAGCAGAGTTTATAAAATCAGACTTTTTGAATAGCACTGCCTTGGGGACATTGCCAATTCCGGGTATATACAGTAGCTTTGTTTCTTCGGGGTTCTTAAACACCGACCTACTACACAGCACCGGCTCACGCTCAAGTTCCTTGCTCACTTCCAGGCCGTAGTGGCGGCACTGCTGGGTCAAATGCTCCGGCGAACCGAATAACATCACACGCAACAAGTACGAACCCGGCACATTGAACTGCTTATTGTAGGCATGCGTAAACATTTGAAGAATCCGTCTAGAAGTAGTCATATGTCAGCTTTTATAGAAAATCGTTCATGGTGCGCCGTACCTTCGTATTATCTGTAACTTTGTGGCGGCCAAGGCACAGAGTATGTGCGGAAGTTTGGGCAATGCTAAGAGGACGCGGTAGAGATTTCCCTGGTGGTAGGAAAGGCTCATCTGAAAGCTGAGCTTAAAAGTTGGATCCTGGCGCACATGCTCTGGTAAGGTTAGGCCCCGCTCCAGGGATTCCGGGCAGCCCAAATTGAACACTTGATACACAGACTCGATGAAACAGCGTCGTTGGAGATCACGAATTGTAGGACTTGGGGCCGTTTCATCCTCTTCAAAAGTCTTGTAGCAGCAGAGCACTCCAGTGAGACACTCCTGCAGATGCTGGTTGCATATCTTTGCATCAAACATATCAATTGGTTCGACACACAGACGGTACCGGCTGTACGCCAGAAACATCACAATTGGCTCCAGAAGTTTTGCAGTATGTTGCGCATCCAACATCTGAATGACAATCTCGCGACGCACAGCACGCAAGCGATCGAAAATAAAATCGTAGGCCATGCGGTAGGGCACTCGGTTATCCATTACAATGCTGTAAGAGGCAAGTGATCAACAGACTAATTATATATGTAAATCCAAAATACCAACTCTTTTAGGAGATACTCAACGGTCCTGGTCAAACATTGCACCGTGCGCATATCCTCTCTCTTGGGCATTTTGACGTCAGCGGCAGAGCGTGTAAATTCCTTTACCAGAATACCGGGGACGTTCTTCTGACCATTCTTGAGTTCAAAGAAGTGAAGCATTCTCTCGCGCACCCGCCTGTTAGCAAAGTGAATAGTTAATCTTAGCCCGTCGGAGCAAGGATGGAACCTAACATTTTAATCTCGCCATCGGGACAGAATTCTTCACAGGTGCCTTGTATCTTGGCCATAATGCTCCGCATTATATTCCGGCAAGGGCAAACCACCGACTTTGGTTATTGAGCAGTTAAATAAAAGGAATTAAAAATAAAAACTACTCGAATGCCGATAACTTTACAAACAGCTGAGCCGTGTCCGAGCGGATAGAGTTGTCAGAGACACAAATTCTAAAATGTAAATTAATATTCCTCTTAAAATTCACCCAATATGTACTCTCGCACTCTAAGAAAATTAACACAAATCAATTGCGATTCTTGGAGACTGCTCAGTAGCTTTCGGCGAGTTGCGGCTACAGAATTGAGTCGGAGGAGGCATTGTTGGAGAAGCGTGGTAGCTCTGCCAGTATTTGTTGTTGCGCGCTCTGTTGCTTGCAAGGTGGCCATGGCGAAGGAGGAGGAAAACCCAAAAAGGAAACGCACCCAAAGCAAAGCAAAGTACGTGACGACCATTCAGGGGAAAGCGCCACACTACCTTAATTCACTCAAGGTGAGATGGGAGCAGCTTCACGAGATTCCCGGCATCTTTGCCTACCAACTGCAGAAAACGCGCCCAAATCGTGTGCTGCCAGGAAAGTACAAGTTCTACGCGGAGGTAAATGGAAACCCACAAATAGAAAACAATTGGTTACATTTCCACCTGATTTCTCCATGCCTAGCTTAATCCGGATCGTACGCTGAAGCGCCGCATCCCACAAACCATTGAGAACCTCAATCCAACGTTCAAGCCAAAGCAGTTCAACTTCAACAAAGTGGACGCCCTGGAAGTGATGATGACAATCGATGACGTTGACAAAACCGAAGTGCAGATGATTGTCAACAGGAGCCCCCTTACCAGGTTTCACACGGTGGTCTGTCCCGACGTGAAGAACAATCTGGTGCAACGAATTACTGCGCATTCGCTGAAGTTTTGCATCAACTTCATGCGAGGCCTAGACGACATCGACATTCGGATGGGCTATAATAGTCCTGGTGCCCTGGCTTCTGTGAATCACCTACACTTCCATCTGCTGCACCTGCCCCAGGATTTGTACATTAACCACGTGGAGCTGGAGGAGCTGGCTGGTGGCTATGTGTATCGCTTAAGCAAGTCAATGCCCACCGAGGCAATCTGTGTGATCTTCGAGGCGAATGACGATGAGGCAGAGGTGCAAGAGAAGGTCAACAATCTGCACAAGCTCGCCGATTGGATGTGTGGGCAAAATATACCCCACAATCTCTTCATCACCCCGGACCGCCGACCTGGCAAGCGCGGTAACGTGCAGGTTTTTGTGTTTGCGCGATCCCAATACTGCGTGAACAAAGATTTGGCCGAATTTAATGTGGGATTCTGCGAATTGGCTGGATACATTCCCGTGGGAGGTAACCGTTTTCAATGTTTCAATCCATCCAAACAATTTATAAGCATTCTTACATCCACAGACTCGGACAAATTGGAGAATCTTACAGAGCCGATGGTTATAAAACGAATTCGTGAGATCACTGGCACAGCCCCTCAGGCGGTATACACGCGAATGAAGCAGATAGTGAACGGAGAGGATCAGTCGATTTGGGAACAGCCTTTAACCATATGAAACGTTTGCAATAGAGACCAAGAGGCTATTTATTTATACTAAATCTACTCCTTATTTAAGTCACACGGCAGCTGCGGCGAATCCTTTGCCCATTGTTGCTTTGCTAATTACTTTGCGGTTGGGTGCGATGCCATAATCCACCTGGGAGTCGCCGTTCTGCCGCCTAACCAGCTCCGTCAGCTGCTGCAGGCCGTCGCTGGCTATGCTCTGCCTTATAGCCTCAAAGAAGGCCAAGTAATGATGCAGATTGTGGCTGCAAAAGGACAGAGATTAATCATTGAGACAGGGGTTTCAATATTTCACTTACATCATAAGTAGAATGGGACCCAGCAGCTCGTTGGTCTTGTACAGATGATGGAGGTAGGCACGCGTGTGTTTCTTGCAGCTCAGGCAGTCGCATTTTTTCAGCAGCGGCGTGAAATCCTCCTTGTTTGCATCATCCGTTATGTCCAGAAAGGGAACGTGCACGACGGCATCAGCATCCTGGGCAAAAGTAAACGTCAAGGCCTTAAAGTTGACTGCCGCACAATAAGCATATGAAGTGTCGAATAGATCCATGCCCAGGCCAATCAGCTCCAGCGTGGTCAAGGGTGTATAGGCACCCGGCACCATTCGTGGCTTGCCCTCCTCCAGCTGCCCCACACAATGCTGGACAATGGGCAACAGCTTGGATGCATCCAGTGTGGTGGCAGCCAAGCCATTCGTGTGGAATCCCTCAAAGACATAGCCGCCATAGCTGTCTGCGGGCTGTTCGTGGGCATGTTTTATGGACTGCGTCCGGGCAAATGTGTTGTAGCCGCCCACAATAGGCGCCAGCAGGGCAGACTCCACTTTGCTCTTGTTCTCGTAGATGTATTGCATGAACTTCTCGGTGCGATCCACGGATTTCTGAACACGTTTCTTGGAGCTATCTGCATTAGTGTCTGCGTCGCACAGCCCCTGGTAGATGTCTGGCTTAAGGCTAGCCACCATTTCCATGTACCGCTGGGGCGAAAGCGACTCTTTGCCGCGGCGCGTGAACAGCGGCTGTATGTCCCGGTCGTTTCCACCTGCCGGCGTCATCTCGCAAGGATCCCGCAGCAGTAGCACATTCAAGTGTCCGGGAAATCCCACATAATCGCTCAGTCCCCGATCTGCTCTGTTCCACTGGGCCAGCGCCTCCGTCATTTGGTCGATGGTCGACAGGGTAAACTGCAGAACCTGTGGCTTCCTCGTCACATGGCTCTCAAAGACGTCGGCGGACAGACACGGAATGCTGCCGCCTTTTGTTGTTTGCATTAGCAACGGTGTCCGCTGCTCTGGTGCTCCATCCTTTATGTGCAGCTGGCCCAGACGCCCACCGTTCTTGGTGAGGCTCTCTATAACGAATTTCATAGCGGTTTCCCTTGGTTTTATTAATTTTTATTTTATTGGTCGCCACACCAGTGTTGTCCCTTCGAAATATACCGAAACATAGCATCTCGTTTTTAACATATGCCGTAAATATACCGAGTGTGTCCAAGATCGGAAGTCAAATTTCTTGATTTCGATGTTCGCTTTAATATTATTTGCTGGATGGAACTCTTAGCCCTCAAAATATAATTTTATCCGATTGATGTATGAATTTTCCACAAGATTGGATTGCTTACAAAATAAAGAGCTAAGAGAAAAGCAAAGCAAAAACTAAGTTCCCTTTCCGCAGCATGTTGCTGGTCCATACAAATTTATGTTGCCCACTGTATGCGTGTTCGCTTTTGCTAGCTTTTTGGGCCTGGGCTCCATCTGGGCGCTTTGAGTGGATAATTTTTTTATATTTTGATGCGCAGCGCACTTGGAATTGTTGTCATTTTTTTGTTGTTTTTCAGTTATGAATATTCTCGCTTGCTCGCACTTGTGGCAATGAATACAATACATGCATATGGATGTTGTCGTTTTCCTCAAATTGTGTGTTTCTGTTCCGTTCTCTTCGCGTCGTTCATTGATTTCCTAATTAAGTTTATAATTAAAATTAATTGAAAAATTACTCTCACACACACACATGCATATGCCCATGTACATGGGCATGTGCACAGCAATCTATGTAAATTGCCCTGTTGCGCCGTGTTGTGTTGTAACGACAAGTATTTGTGTGAGAATTTCTATTAATGAATAAATGTTTGCAGCGCTTTTGAATTTGAAAGCGAAATTGTGCCAAAAAACAAGTGTAGAGGTAATTATTACAACAATAATGCAGAGACAATCTGTTAAATTGATGACTTCCTTGCGCTGGGCGTGCTATATTTATACAAATTAAAAGCGTCTGCAATGGCAATTATACATATGTACGTGTATGCACATATTTCATTTAAACAAAAACTATAGGCGATGCTTCCTTTTCTGTATCCATAATACAACTATAAAAATTCCTGGCACGAAGCGCTAAAATAACCATAAATTGCGGCTTAAGTATTCCCTTGCCCACTGCTCGAAAGAGCGGTGCTGGCGGTTCGAAAACATACGGTTCTAAGGTGTCCAGTCAGCTAGGGTTGCCAGCATCCTCGCTGGTTGTGGCCTTGAGATCGCAGGCACAGTCATCGCTACCGGTTTAGTTTCGCCGTGCTATCTAAGTGTGTTTAATATCCAGAGTGTCATAAAAAAATTGTAAACTTATTCCATGCACATGGGACATGGACAGGCAGTAAAATTCACATTTATACGCTCTCCAGGTGGTCCTGCAAAAACCCGACGATGTGGCAACTCTAGGCAAATGAACTGTTTTTACCTGCACAAATAAAAGAGCGCGCGTCTTTACTTCTACTAGAAGGGTACGTCGGCGGGGCAACCAACGGATAATTTAGTGGAATTTTCAAAAATAGCAAAGCCAGCAGCAGCCCCAGCCATATCCATAATCCTATGCCGTGATCCCAGAGAAGAGCAACAGCAACAACAAGCATAATAATCAAAGATTAAATCAGGTTTATATGGAAAGGGTTAGCAGAGCGACATCAGCAGAGCCTGTCCCAGGAAGAGAGAGAAGAGAAATACACGTTTCCTAGTCTCAGTTGGAAGCAGCAACAACACACACCTACAACTGATTACACTCACACACACACACACACACACACACACACACGTAACACAGGCAAGCCAGCGCGAGAGAGAGAGAGAGAGTGACTTAAGTGAGGGAGGGAGAGCAAAAATGCGAGAGCACTGAGAGCTAAAATGCACAGATTAACATTGCTCTTCAGTCCATGAGGGAATAAATCCAGGTGGTCTCGTCGGAAAAAAGTAGTCATCTATCCATTCCGTTAACAAGTGCGAGGAAAGGGTTCTGAGTAGTAAGTGTGAGTGAAACGACAATGGAATGGAATGATTGTTTAGGCTCTTAATTCTAAACAAAAATGGGACATTTATTGCTGCAAAAATGTATAAGTAATTTTTCCTGAGCATAAGGTTGATATGTGGGAAAATATTCGTCCTTTCACGTCAACAGGCACTGAAAAATAATTGGCCGAAGGCCGACGATTCGGCAAGCGACGAGACCAGACCACATTGTATAATTGCACCATGGTTCAGCTAGCGTTTTACGTTTTTCGCTCTTCGCTCATTTTCTTTCGTTGTGTGCTCCGGCAATGTCGTGTTTCGGAACGGTGAAAACAGCAACAACAAGATAAGATTTTCCGATTTTCCGTATGGAAGCAGCGGCGGCATTTGTTTTGAAAGTAAAGCAAAGTGAGCCAGAAAAACGAAATATAAAGAAGCGCCGACAGCGACGAAAGACCGCGCCTCGCCTCGCCTGAATCCAAACGGTGTTTAATGTACCGCGTGCGAGTGTGTGTGAGTGCAGACGAATATAAGCCAAAAAGGAAGTGAAAATAGTGCAAAAAGAGCTCCCGCATAATAATAATAAAGAAAGCCGAGTAATAATAAAATAGGAAAAAAGACAAGGCCCGCGAGAGCAGGCCCCCCAGACCCCAAGCAAAGACCAGTAATACCAAGGCCCCAAAAGACCAGACCAGTTTCAAAAAAGCCTATTTACAGGGCCTGCCTGCCGCCAGATAGTAGTGTACGTTCGTGTGTCTGTGTCTCGTTATTTGCGTGTAGTGTGTGTGTGTGCTAGAAGAGACCACATCGGGAGGGAAAGACAGTTTCAAGGAGCGGAAAGGCAGCGGCAGCGAGCAGTGCGCGAGCAAGCAATAAGAATAATAAATTACACTTTGCTATAATAAGAAAAATTTATACATACCTATACACACACAGCCATACAGACGGGCCAGTGCCCCACACACATGTGCACAAGTAATGCTGGCGTGTGAGTGTGTGTGCGCTGCGCTGCTTGTGGAAAATTGTAATAAAATATGAACCGCAGCTAGCCCGCTAAGGAAGCGGAGAGCGGTGCGGAAAGAGTAAGAGAGAGATAGAGAAGAAGAGGAAGAGAAGCGGCAGTAAAACGAGAAATCGACTGGAAAACCCACAAAAAAACGAAGGAAAAGAATTGAGTGAAAATATCGAAACTGCATTAAAGAAAAGCAGCTACCACTACTATAATCGTATTCATGTGCCATTTAATTGTTTGGGAAAAGCTTTAAAGGGATATACACCACACTATATCTATAAGACGCAACAGTATTAGCAACACACACAAATATATACCCCCCGTGCGTGCAACATGTCCTGCATATCGAGCAATTTCAGCTCCTTCTTCCTCAATTCGCTCAACGATCCCTCGGAGTTTTCCAAGTACTTGAGCAATGGCGAACTGAAATGCGCTCAATTCGAGGAATTTCAAGTGTTTGGCTGCGGCGCAGGCGCATCGTCGGGGCAACAGCCGTCGCTGCAGCAGCAGCAGTTGCAACAACAACAACAACTACAGTATTCCCACACACATCTATCCAATGGCTGCGGCACGGATTTTTCCTACGAGGCAGCAGCAGCGGCGGCGTCATCGTCGTTGTCTTCCCATACGCAACGGGAAACCTGCCTGAGTGGTGCGGCCGCCGCCGGCAGCTCAGGTAGCGGTAATCCGACGACGACGTCGAGCGCTCACTCGCACACAGCCGCCGCAGTCGCCGCCTACGTCGCAGCAGAGGCGGGCGTCGCCGCAGCGCCGACGTCAGTAGCAGCGATAGCGGGAGCAGCAGGAGGAACTGTAACAGGACCATCCCCCGGCAGCAATCGCTGGCCCACGGCGGTGGCCACCCCCAATGGGGGATCGGTATCGGTGCCCCAGCACTTTGATGGTTCCTTCGAGTTTATCAAATATCTGCGCCACTCCACGGAATTTACGCCGGGAACAGCCAGTGGCACGCCTAGCGATAGTGCCATAGTTACAGCTGCAGCAGCGTCAGAGAAGAGCGGCGCCAAGGGACCGGGAGTAGCACTTGCGGCAGTGGCAGGCGCTGGCACACCACCCCCGCCAGCCCAATCGCCCGTCGCCAGTGCGGGGCTCCTCGACCTGGACACGAGTACCTCCCAGAAGTCGCGATCTGCCTCCCGCAAGGTGGCCGCACTTCTCTCCTCCGTTTCGCGCGCTTCCAACAGCCTGGTGGACACTAGCACCTCCGCGCTGGACGTTTTCGATCACGATTCGAAGCAGACTATCTTCGACCTGCAGCACCTGGCCTCAAACGGCTCTTCCAACTCAAATGAGTCCTCTTTGGAGCTGCTCGCCTTCCCCAACTCCCATTTGAATGCTTCCAACTCGAATACCTCGTCGGAGGGCGCTGCTTGCGGGAGTGCTGGGGAGTTTGGTGGCATTCTGACTGGCGCCAGCTCTTCCTCGACCACCTCCTCTTCGTCGCACGCACCCAAGCTGCTCGGCAGCTTTGTGATCAAGGAGAACTTCGAGGTGCATCCCTCCCACAAAGTGGAGGAGGGCATCTTCCAGCACATGAACAAACTCCCCTCCAAGAAGAAGGACACGCTCAAGCAGCTGGGCGTCCGATTCACGGGCCAAATGACGTTGACGGACAAATCGATTGTGGTCGAGAATTTCATCAAGTTTTGCGAGGTGAGTAAATGGAAAAGGGAAACGGCAATAGTATGGATGGGGTGGGGTGCAAAAACTCCGGGCACGGCGGATGTGGGGCTGTGATTGGGCTTGGGGTTGGGCTGCGAACGAGTCAAATTTCGTCCAACTCTGCCATGCATATGCTGCTCTTTTTGTGTAGGTGTGTGTGTGAGCATGGATGAGGGATTGTACGTGTATTTAGGGAGTTTTCAGCGGTCTCGAATTTCCCCCATTTTCATATGCAATTTAAATATTTGCATATATGTATGTACGCATTTATTATGATAGCGAACCCATCAGTAAAACGGTTGCGAGACCATTACCATTTTCACACCCTAAACGAAACTATTTAAGCTTCAAATACTATCGTATATTTCCACATAGAGCCATGCTACTTATTTCAGCTTGCTGAAAATCTAAGCATTGTGAAGCAGACCTAGTATAGGGCTGCACTATTTATAGTGAACCCCACTTAACTTCACTTAAAAATGTAAATATACAATTTGGGGTGATTTAGCTCCTAGATCAAACGGGAAATAACATAAATTTCTGGTTTCCTGATTTAAAGTTCTTCCTTATCTAATATGCCCCAAGTAAAAATATTAGCTAGCAGATGTTATGGGATTTTTTGGGTAATATTTCACTGCTCTTCATCTAAACTGAAAATGTAACACGTTCCACATGTGTGGGGCAGCTAGTTCCCAGTTTGCAGCAACATTATCAGCGATTGTGAATATTCAGCTAATGGAAATGTGGTATTAGTTGTAGCTCTGTTTATGTTCGGCATCCCTATTGAAAGCCACACTGTGTATTTCGGAAATTCAACCATTTGCAGGTACCCAAAATTCCGAAAATATACATTGGAAATGGTGGATATATTCATAATATAAACATGCACCCTATCCATATCCCCAATACACAGGCGCATTTCTCGGCCCCTTATGTGGCCCATCCACCCACTCGCACAGAGCCACCCACACCCAAAATGAGGACTCTCTCACACTCACACAAATGTCATTATAAATTGTAATAACAGGAGAAGCAGCAGCAGGGACGCTGGCGTCTCTGTCGACGCTGACTGCAGCCAACCACAAAGTCCGCATACAACTGTAATCATGTGTGCTCCACTGTATGTATGTATGTGTGGCTGGATGGCTGTTTGGGGGGTGGGTGGCTTGTGTGCGTGTATGTGTAAACTCTTCTAAACACCTATACATGCTCTGGCTGGTGGCCGTGGCCGCCCCCGGCCCCTTTCTCCTTTCTTCATACATTTGGCGCCCTTTTCAACACTATGCCAGAGTCAACCCCACAAACACTCTGCCATGCCATGCTCATTACGCTCGGCTTTATCAGAGGAACGCACACACAAACACACAGCAACAGAGAAAAAGCGCCCATCTAGATTTGTCGACCACCACCTCTGGGCACACACATCCACATCTACATAGAAACACTCGCCAAACTATGTACAAAATGGCATTGATGGCATAATACAACAACTACGAAAAGAGAGAGAGTGAAAGAGAGAGAGAGACACGTAAAGGAGGAGCAGTCTAGGAGAAAGAAGTAGAGGAAGCAAAGCTCTAACCTTATTTCAACATAGTGTGGGTGTGTGTGGGCAGCGGGAGGTGTGGGGGGTATCCGCCTATTACAACATTTTAGTTCTAAGACGCTCTCGCTCTTCCACCTACTTTGCTGCTCCCTAACTCAAAATTTGTGACGCTCTCTCACGTAAGGATTCTCTCGCTCTCTGCCAGCCACCCTGCTCCTACTTTCTCTCTCTCTCCTTCCTTGGCTCTCAAAAACTTACTTGGGGAATCCTGCTTATGCCCGCCGCCTCTTCGATGCTGCTCAAACTACCAAGTCGCCTCTGGTATGTGTAGTTGTGTCGTCGCTCTTTGTGTGTGTGTGGGTGTGGGGGCAACCCCCAAAAAGCTCAAGGCAGCGAGCAGCCTGGCCAGGAGGGGTGGTGCTATTGAGTAATTGTATATTCCCCTCAATGCCCCCTCAACTGTCCTTACACACACACGCAAACCATCATCAAGTTACTTGAGGGGATTCCGTGGGGCTGGCTTTCGTTGGATTGTCCGTTGCCTGCTTGGGCATGTCCTTTTCCTCTGTCCTTGTGTGTGTGTATATTTTATCAACACATTTTATACATGTCTCTATCGGAGTGGGTGGGGAACGGAACGGCTGGTCGGTGTATGGTGTTTGAAGGATACTAAGTGCGCATGCAGTCAGCTCTACACACACACAAGTGCATTCCCTTTTGCCTAACTTTGTGTGCTGCCAAGCGTATGTGTGGGTAAAGGACAGCTTACTGCGGGAGTGGCAGCGCCCATGGGGTGGGGTAGGAGGCAGAGCAGGTACAATGTCTCGGCTTCGCACAATTTACGCGCACACACATCCAAAACACACATGGATGGGGGCATTGATTATAATTTTAAATTATACATACGAGAACATGCATATAGAACATGCATATGTGTATTGTACATATGCCAACATAACTGTACATGTCTCATACATACTTATGTATTTCTAACATGTAATGTACAACCGTATAAAATATTTAGCTTTTGTGCAACATTTGGGGACATATTAAATTAGTGTTGGCTAACGGGGTTTGTTTGCACATCCGTATGTATATTTTAGAGCAGGTGGAAGCATTAGCAGCATCCCTGCCGCCTTCCCTCCCCTGTTCCAAAGAAATTAGTTGCCTAATTAAAAGGTTGAGAGAACAGTGGGAAATTGACACGCATTCAACTCCCCTTTTTGTCACCTGCTCTCATTACACACTCGAACACACGAAAGAAAAAAACCAGTTAAGTGGCAGACACATCCACACACAAGAACGGAAGGAAAGAGTGAAAGTGTAAAAATGGTTGCCCTTACACAGTCCGCCCCTCCCCGCCTGTACGCCACACACAGTGCACAGGCACGCAGTCAGGAGGCAGTCGGGCAGGCAACCCTCGAACAAGAATCAAAAAATCATGGCAGCAACAGCCAAAACATGAACCGTTAAGTTGTTGTTGTTTTTGCCGCTCTCTGTTTTTGTCGCTCTCTGCTCCCTCCTCGGTCACATCACGCACAAGCACTCCCACAACAGAGGCAACAACAACAATAACATCAAAAAAGGGAAACCAATTCACACTTGCCTCAATACAAACATGCAACAAAAGCAACAACACACCACAGACAAAAACCGCAATCCCGCCACACAAACACACACACACACATGCAACCGCCCCACCCGACCAAACACCACATCACACTCGCACGCTCAGTTCAGAGTGCGACGGCTACGTCACGCACAAACACAAAAACAAATGTCTGCCAATAAGTTTGCAAAAAAAAAAAAGAAAACGTTACGAAAACAGAAACAGAAAACAGAAGCGAAAGCAAGAACAAAATACCGCAACACATTGCCTTTCTTTTTACTTTTTTTTTTTGTATTTTGCCGTTTTCCTGCTTCTGTGCTTCTTCTTTTCTGTTTGTTTGACTGCGAAACAGTTAAGCGGCGACCGACCACACTTGACAGCAGCAGGAGTCGGTCGCCGCCGTCAGCAGAGCAGCAACAGTGCTTCACTTGTCAGCACACCGCACCCACCCCACACTCCACAGTTGTGTGCTTGTTAATGAGACGTCTGCCCGCTGGTTCCCCGTGTCCACCAGGTGTCGTGCTGACTGTCATCACGGAAAGAGAGTGTTGAGTTGGTTCTGCTCTGTCTGTCTTACTTACTGTCTCTCTCTTTACGCTCTTCTGCCCGACAGCCTGGGCACTTGGAAATTTAAAGTTTTCGTCTCACACTTTGGTCCTGGTCTTGGATTGGACGTCACTCCTTTTTGCTCTATTGATTTTTAACATAATCAAAACCCAAAATGTATTCACACACACACACAAATGTAAAGAGCGGCGTTCATACATACATACATACATACATACATATAATTTGCTGTAGAGGAGAATTGAAGCTCAGTCAGCATTTCGACAGCGTTGCCATGTGTGTACTTAGGAGTGTGAGTGAGAGTGTTAGTGAGTGAGAGAGCGAGCGGGTTTAGTTAGGGTAGGTGGGTGGGTGGTGACGCTGCTGCTGCCATCGTGCTGATTATGAGGATGTTGATAAGTTTGAACGAGGACCGACCCGAGGACACCCGAAAACCCCCTAACTGACACACACACTCACACACAAAGGCATAGAAACAGAAACAGCCACAGACCTCCATTAAGCTGCTGCGCCTACTAAAGCTAGACAAACACAGACACAACACGCACACTGGCGTATGGTAACCCTTTTTTAAGGGGGACTGGATTTGGGGGAGACTTTTCAAACACCCTCCACCCCATTTTATGGGTGTGGGAGTGTTGGTGAGGGATGTGTGTGGTGTGTGGTGGGAAATGGCTTCATTGAAAATGTTGTTTGCTCTTCTATTTGGGTTTGCTTTGCTGCCTTTTCCGCTTCTCTTTTCTGGCCCTATTCTATATTTTTACACTATAAAATATACATTGTAAAGTATGGATGGTTGTATGTTGTGTGTGTGTGGTGGGGCCTGGGCTTTTGCATCGGCACGTTATTCAAGCCCCACACTTGCTCATTCCACTCTCTTTCCATTTTCCTTTGGCAAGTTTTTGGCTTTTGTGTAAAATTTTCGTTTTAAACTTTTGCGTTGTACACGAATTATAAGTTTTGATTAGTAGTGGGTAAAGTTTTTCGGGCCCCATGTGTGTGTGTCTATAAGTTTTCTAGGGGTTGCAGAGAGGTATGGTACTAGTATGTGTGTTTATGTACATTATGTAACCCCAAATATACATATGTACAAATGTATGTATATTTATGTGCACCGCAGTCATGGGAATATGCATAGGAAAAGCCTAAAACTAAGGGAAATCAAGCTTAAAAAGGGGTTTTTTTGGAATGGGGCACAGAGCAAAAAGGTGTTTTTTAGACTAATGGAACTGGTGGTTCGTGGTTGAATGGGGGTAGACATGTAAAACATGCTTTCCAGAAGCATTTTAATGACTAGCATTACTAAAGTCCATACTTTGATCTTATTTTGCAGGAATATGAAATCAAGGATCATCGGCCCTGGCTATCCCTTAATCAGTGTGGCCTCAACAAGCCCGAACAGATCAAATTTGCACGATATTTGGGCCAGGGCCTGCCCACTTTTACGCTCTTTTGCATTTATAGCAATTATAAGAATCTGTTTTGCACCAAACGCACAGAAATGTAAGTGTTGATCAACGATTGTGGAACACGCCCAAAAGCATGCTATAATTATTCCAATTATCCCTTTGATTTTCAGCTACACGAAGGATGGCTACAATCTGCCTTATATACTCGACAAAACCAAGCGTTTCCTGGCCAACACAACAGCTGGTAAGTAAACTTATAGCTGTATATTATCTGATACATAAAGTGTAGTGCAAATGCAGCAGAAGGCAGCCCACGAATAACACACACACACACACACAGCAGAGAAAAGCGTGTGTTCTCAGGCAGAGTAAAATTAATAACAAAAAAAGAAAACAGAATGTGCTAAATTTAAAAATACACTCAAAACTAAAAGTGCTTACATTCTTCTCTCTATTCTTTATGATTTCTCTCAATTCTACTTCTACTTTTCATTCACATTTGCATTTTCTGCGTTTCTGTTTCTAATTCTATTTGTCGTGCACTTTCCGTTTTCGGTTCGCTCACAAACTAAACGAACAACTGGGGGGAGAATATGTACCTTCAGAATTGGCTGCCTATTTTTGCGACAAAAATTTCAAAAACTAGAAAATAATCAATTTCTGTCTGTGCCACTGTGCCACAAAAATCGTACAAGAATCATTTTATAATTATTTTTGACTTCAATTTGTTTGTGTTTCCTCTTTCTTCTACTTTATCCACGCATACGCTTTGAATCACTAGGCGAAAATACCAACAACAATAACAACATCCAAAACAACAACAACAACAATAACAGTAACAAGACCAACACAACAACAGCAACAGCAACAACAACATCCACACCGGTCAAACAAACAGAACAGGGACCACCAGGCGACCAACCGCTGGTGTCAGCACCTGCCTCGCCAGCGAAACCCACAGCCTCCACAGTGGCCGCAGCTCTGCCATCTACACCCACGCCCACGCAGCTGGTTTTAGCAGTGGGAGTGGGAGGAGCAACACCAGGAACACCAATACCACGCACAATGGCCGCAACATCAACACCAAGACCGGCAACTCCCACAGGGCCAATAGCGGCACCGCCGCCAACGACACCGCAACATCTACAACAACAACAGCAGCAACAACAACAACACATGCTGCACCAACATACGCATCCGCATGGCCAGCATCCACACGCGCATCCACATCCGCATCACCTGCAGCCGGGCACACCGACACGTAGCACAGCGATGACGCCGCAGCATCCACATGCCCCACATCCGCACCACTATCCTCCGCCGCATCCACATCCCCATGCCCATCCTCATGCCATGCAACATCCCCACTCGCATCACTTTGCCTATGCCCATCCTCAGCATCCGCAGCATCCACAGCATCCGCAACACCCGCAGCAGCATCATCCGCACTTCTATCCGCACCCACACGCAACACATGTCCAGCACATGGCAGCCATGGGCTACAGCCCGGCGCCGCCACCACAGTCTGGAGGTGGTGCGGCAGGTGCAGGAGCTGCAGGAGGCGGAGTAGGACCCGGTCCGCCAGTGTCCATGTGAGATTGGGGTCGGCGTGGCGCCAAGGGCAGCGGAGGAGGCGCCACCTGTTGACAATCGTAGGCTGTTGCAAGACCACAATCCTCTATCCTCGATCCCTATCCCACCCATTATCGATTAGAAATTTTAACCAGAAACCTTTTATAAGAACATCGCGTCATAATCTTTTACACCTTTATGTTTGTTTCGTTTATTTTAGAATAATTTTACACGCTTTTTGCCAAATTTTATTGAAACTATACAACAAATTTTATATTATGTTTGTCGACGAAGAAATTGTTGGACAACGATCGATCATTATTACCCAAAACCCCCCAAAAAACTATGCAATGTTATTCCTTGAAAAGAGATTATTACTTTTACACACAAACACACACACACACACACAATTAAACACACACACATATATACACAAACACAAGAACATATAGAAAATCAAGATAACGCTATTTAATACGATTATGATAACGAGTATATATATTTTAGTAAGCCAAGAACAATGATAATATATATGTATATGTATTGTATGTTAAACTAAAGCCAATCCTAACTATATACACCCCCTATAGACTATATGTATGTATGTATAGTGTACCATATATACATATGTATATGGAAATTGTTTGCAAACACACACACACACAGAAAATATATATACATAGCGGAAAGCGATTGAGAACAAAATCGATTGGATAAAATTGTTGTTTCTTCTTGAGATTTATTGCCTGCCATTGCGAGTCTCTGCATTTGCGCTAAGCCATTAATAATGGGGCGAAAACGGAACGGAATGGGCTCTAAATTGCCCTTTCAAGACGGTGATCGAAGCAAGCCATTGCCTGCTGCCTAACTGTCGCCCCCCCTCTCTCTTGTAGACCTCAAGAACATGGCCGCAGCCAATGATGGATCTCTGGAGTTTGCAGCAGCCAACAGTAGCAGCAGCAGCAGCACTAGTGCCAGCGCCAGCGCCAGCACCAGCACCAACCTCATCAACAGCAACAGTAACAGCAGCAGCAGCAGCGGCACCGTGAACCTGTCATCAGCAGTGGCTGCTAATGCGAACAGCAATTATGTTACAGCGCCGCAACCACTACCACCTCTGCCACCCACAATGGATCCCCGCTATGTGTGTGGGGCACCGCCGACGCCGGGTTTGCTGCCACCGCCGGTGCTGGGGCCGCCGCCGCGCTCCCTGGAACAGATGATCATCTATGAGAACTTTGAGGTGCATGAGACGCACCGCATCGAGGACGGTGTGTGCACCCACATCAGCCGGCTGCCACCCAAGAAACAGGAGCTATTGAAACAGTTCGGTATACAGAGTAGTGGGCAGCAATGCCTGAGCAATTATGAAAAGTACATACTCATCGAGAACTTCATCAAGTTTTGCAATGTGAGCAAAAGTGTATCGGCGCCAGGCCAGACTCCACCACCCACCACCAACAAAAAAAAGAAAACAAAACCCCAACCACCGGCAGGAGCAGGCGGCACTACTGTAGTTTAGCGGAGCTTTGTTCTTTCCCCGAATTGGTTATAACCCAGAGATTGGCATTACTTTTGTGTAGATCAAAATTTCATCATCATTATCTTAGCGAGCATTGAACAAAACTCTTGCCTCCAAATCTCAAAGCAGATGACTATCCTAACATGCATTATTCCTCTTTTGTTTCCGTTTCCCTTTTCGCTTTTTCGATTTGCTTTTCATTCTCTACAGGAATATCAGATATCCGATCATCGACCCTTTTTGGACTTCCACGAGAGCGCTTTATCCAAATGTGAACAACTTAAATTTGTACGATATCTGGGCCAGGGGCTATCCAATCTGACGCTAAACAAGATCTATGTGGCATTCAAAGATCTTCTGGGCAACAGCAGAAACGAGAAGTGAGTTGCGATTAAAATAGAATTAACTTATTTTGATCATTTCCAAAACTCTTTCAGAGCTGGCATGGAAAGCTATAATTTGGATGTCCTGTTGAAGAAGAAGCGCAAGAATCTCTACAATCGCATGCATGCGGCTGGTAAGCAACGAGGCAGGGAATATCGATCGTTATTTAATGGAATCTCATTACACTTACAGCTCCCAGCATTGATCTAACCGCCTACGATTCGGTGCAACATCCCCAAGCACAGCCACATCCGCATTCGCATCACCCTGCCTTGAGCACGCCACGCCCGCATCATGCTTTTGCCGCCCTAAATGTGGCGACACAGCGCAGTGAAGTATGCAACGAATTGACGCCCGCAGGCTTGCAGTACAGTTACGCCGGAAACGGAAATGGACCACGGTAAAGACGGGCCCAATAGGACCCCCAATAAATCATCAAAAACATATTCATACAAACATACATAAAAAACTTCTTCCTGGAACTGGACCAGTAACTGTTGTGTCTTCGAAACGAACAAGAAAAAAAAAACATAAACCCAAAAAACAAAAGAATTGTTAAGCGAAATCATTGAAAACTAAGTGCTAAATTAACCAAGGAAATTAAGTATCAGAGACACTAGTAAAATTAGGCTAAATGTTAACAAGAGATTTAACTTAAATGGAATGAAATTCAATTAAGCCAAAACCCGACAGGCAAAATGAAAATACTAAACACTCAAATGTAAGCTTATTTATACTCAAGGTAAATTACTATACAACTATACTTACGAGAGTATACACACACACATATTATATACAGTATAGGACATACATATATTTCTGTAGTTGCCATAGCGCTTCTGGGTGCAGCCAAATTCTGTCCAGAACAGAACAGAACAAAAGAGAACTATACCCGAATCGGTACAATATACACATAAATACATACATATTAGCTTCGGTTTCCAGCATCTCAACCCATGAACCCTGCCCCCCCAGCCTCCTGTCTAGCAGTAGTGGATGGTTTAAGCCTAGCATCCAAGTGCAAACAAAAACACCAAAAATATGATCAAAACTAAATCAAAGAACAACCTCCTCCCAAAATGAAAGTTCCCTAAATACGACGCAAGCTACGAGTAACAAGTAGATCAAACCTAGCTGTTAAGAAGAGACAAATTTTTAGAGTAGATTACGATCGAGTGGAAGCACAGATGATTAACTAAATATTCCTATATACATACAATATACATATACAAAATACATACATACAGATATATACAACAAGCAGCATCAAAATTTCAAAGTGGAAAACGAAATGAAAAATCAAACGCAGAATAAAACCAAAAGACAAGGCATAGAAATTGTAAAAAATATATATACAGATCGTAAAATACCAAACCAAATATATTCTATACGAGAAAAGGCAATTACAATTGTTGTTTACATTCATTTACGTTATGTTAGCAAAATTTATTTTTATTAATGCGATTTATTTAAATTTTTCACTATATATTTAGCTTAACCCTGGAACGGGCTGTATGTACTGTACGATTACTAGCAGAGAAGAGAGATATATGTGTAGGATAGCTCAGGAGCGTTTATAAAAGTTAAAGTACAGTCGAAGGCAGTTCAAGAACCTAACTATTATCCAGCTAAAGATGTACGCGTATGTAAGTGTTCTCCTTTGTTGCTTTCATTCATTCTTAATTCTTTAAACGTATGTGTTTTTTTATTGAAATCGCAGCAATTTTGAATTGCATTTAACTGGCTGTTCTGTTCTATCCAAGAGAGATGAGCTATAGGACTTTTTAAATGCTTTTAGTTGGACTCCTTTTTGCGTTGCGCCTGTTCGCGTTCCAGCGCCCGCTGCTTGGCCTTCTCGTAGATGGGCATCAGCTGGCCGGTCTCGCCCAACATTTTCAGCAGCTCCACGATGAAGGGCAAGTAATTGTGTTTGCGACGCACGTTTTCCACCTTGTAGCGCTTCTTCTTCTGGATCTCGTACTGGATGTAGGAGCGCAAGCTGCTGATTTCAGTCTGACGATCTTCCTCCGTGTCCATGGCATCGGCGGCTGGATTGAGCAGTTTGTCTATCTGCTTCTCGTAGATGCGCTGACGGTCCGAGATCAGGGCCATCAGATTGAAGTGGATCTCACCATCGCTGTAGCGCTGCATGCGCTTCTCAATGATTGGTCGCACTACATCAATCCAATTTTGGTCCGGCTTGATCTCACCGAGATCGACGGGACCCTCGCGAAGGCCATCCAGCTCGTACAAACGTCCTTTGATGGGAATATAGCCCACAAAATGGTACAGATCCTCGTCCTTGCTCTGGTTTTTCATGTCCAGCTCGAAGAGGGTCTGCCGGGCGAACGAGTTGTGCACTGTGCGTATCTGCGAGGCATTGCTCAACGTCAGGCCCTTGTTGTAGGGATCGAAACACTGGCAGAATTCCTTAAAGTTGGTCAGCGTCTCGCCCAGCTTGATGTCCTCGTGTTCCAGGTTCATCAGCAGACTGAGAATGGCCTGTGTCGCGCAGGCATTGTTGATCACTTGCTTGGCAAAGAATATATCATCCTTGTCCAGCACCACCTTGCCAGCGGGCTCATCCTCCTGCACCCATTTGAATAGAAATATCAATCCGTGTATGGGCTCCAGATTCTTGAACGATTCACTGTCCAGGCTCCAGATTTCCTCCACCTGAGCACCATCGCAGCCTGGCAATTCGAGAAATTTGCAATTAATACTTGATTGACCCTGCCGGCGCGTCGGTATGCATCCGCGGCGTCCCGGAAAGCGCGGCCAATTGAACAACTTACCAAATTCGCGTATCAGCTCCGTGAACACGCCCGGATCGCTCTCAATGAGACACCAGTTACCAGCACCTTCGCCCATGTTTGATTTGGTTCTTATTTACTTGCCCTTATTTGCCAATTTAACCACAAAAAGTGCTTCTCCCTCTGTTTGCTAGCAATTTTTGTCAACTCACAGAATTCGGACGAGGTTGCCAGAGGCCAGGAATCGTTTGGTAGAGGTGGGATGCTCACATTGACTATCGAATGCCGCTTCATTATGGATTGCGAATAAGTAGATCAGCCAAATGGTTGGTCCACAATCTTCTCATTATCATATCATAATAATCTAAAAAATTTGTATTGTTTAAACATTTTGCGAATTTTATAAAAACATCGACCATCCTCTCACCGCTAATCATCTGGCCTTTTTTCGAAAGAGTGGCAGCGCCGTTGCTTGTCCGCCATGACACAAAGCAAAAAGCGGTGGAAGAAGCAGCAGCGAAACGAAAAAAATATGTGCAAGCAAATCTCACGAAAGAAAATGAAATTTACTGCACTTGCAGTTTGTGAAATCTAAACGAATAATGTGTATTCGAGAGACGAGACAATAATACGTATTTGAGTGCAATTTTTACTTGTCCCACAACGAACTGAATGCGTGAAAAATGAAGCGAAAATACGATATCAATTGCGTGCTGCAGCAGAAGCAGCAACAAAATCTGTGTTTGTTGTAGCTATACATGTATATATATGTACAAATATATA